AGCACTTACCATTCTCTATCTTTATTGATCATTTTTCTTTTCTCTGCTGGACACCCCCAAATCCTGGCTACTAACCACAAAAACCATAGTATTTGAAACTGTATTTATCTTTTTCAATGTTTTATTTCTAGCACTTAGAACAATCCTAGTACATACAAGGCACTCAAATATCTACTGAATGACAACCAATAAACTTTTAAAGTGTTTTAAACTTAAGAAAAGCTGCCAACCCTACAGGTTACCAGTTCTTTCATATTTCATATGTAAAATAAACAATATTTGCTATATACCATTTTAATAAGTTTTAGAAATCAGGTATCAAGAGCATTATCTATATAACATGTTCACTAAAAATTATGTGTATCAAACATGTATATTAAATGTAAGCATACCACATGTAGTCTATGCTCCCAAATTATGGCCATGAATTTCTTAAGAAAGTAATAATTTATTTCCTTAGCTTTCCCTTTGCCAAGTGATTATTGCTGTGGGTTAATGCACTAATTCTTGATTATCTTAACTTGATATGTATTTACCAGAAAACTCTCGGCCCATTTGGTTTAATGCAAATTCTGAGATGGGTCATATTTAAAAGAAAACATGGAATAAGTGAATTCTAGAAGGACTTCAAAGGAAGAGAGATCAAAGAGAACAGAGGATAAAAGAGGAGAGTATATTGACTTTTGAAACCCTAAAAGAAGAAAAATTCAAGTGCTAAAATTATCAGAGACAATAAAACAGAGTTGATACGTTACAACTTAAGAGAGGAAACAGAAAGATAGATGGAAGAAAAAGGCATTAAGCAATTATCACTTTGAGTACTGATAAAACAACCCAGTTTGTTCATTCATTATTTACTGAGTGGTGCCTATGTGCCACGTACTAGGTATACATACAGTTCCAACATAATTCCTGCCCTCAAAAAGCTCACATTTGAGAGAAGGAGACAATAAAGAAGGAAACACATTAATATAGGATTATATATTGTTGAGTGCTCTGAAGGAATCAAAAATAATGTCAGAGAAACGGCATGTAGGAAGGGCCCAGAGTTTCCAACTGGTTTAGCACATCTGAGCAAGACCAGACAGACAAGAAGACAGCCATGCACTATCACAGTCAACAATCTGGATTTTATTGTTAATATAATGGAAACTCACTAAAGAGTTGTAACTCAGGGAAGAAAGTAAAAAGACTTTTTTCATTCCTAAGATGACTCCAGCTAATTAGTCCAGCGCAGGGTTTACAGTACTTCAGACACCATTTTTATACTTTAATTAGATATCTAAATATCTTCAGCAGTACACACCCATCTTTTAATCAAATTTAAATCCACTTCTACCATATGAAAAACAATAAAGATCATGATAGGACAGCATCATTTTATTATATCAACATCAGTCAACTATTTTAAATTACCAATTTCTTCATTAATAAAGCCGGGGCACACCCTTCTAGTTCTAAAACATGTCATTGTAATGGAAAGAAAGGAACACTTGGGAACAAAAACAAAATTATAGGAAGCAAAATTGGAGGTGGCAGGATTCTGAACATCTTGGAATTTTTTTTTTTAAGTTGCAAAATATTTTATGAATGACAACAGAAAGAAAGCTTTGAAACAAATACTGTATGGAGACAAAGGTTAGGTAATTATCTAAACATATAAAAGCTGTTAACTAAGAAGCTGAAAACTCTGACATATAAAATTTAAGCTAAAACCTTTAGTAATATTTAACAAAATGCCATTCTCAAAAGAGACCTGATATGGTTTGGATGTATGTCCCTTCCCAATCTCATGTTGAAATGTGATTCCCAGTATTGGAGGAAGGTTCTGGTGGGAGGTCAGTTCTCAGTTCACTTGACATCTGATTGCTTAAGAGTCTGACACATCTTCCTTCTCTCTTGCTCCTAACACATATCTAATCCCCCTTTGCATTTTGCCATGATTGAAAGCTTCCTGAGGCCCTCACCACGGGAAGATGCCTATGCCAAGCTTTCTGTGCCATCCTGCAGAACCATAAGCCAATTAAAGCTATTTTCTTTATAAATTATCCAGCCTCAGGTATTTCTTCACAATGAATTAAGAATAGACTAACAAAGGGTCTCCTAAAGAAAAATTTCTCTCATCACTGATGACATTCCAATCTCTTATAAGCTTGTGAAAACAAGTGATTCCAACCATATTATTTAATCAGTAGGTTAAGCAGACCTGAATTTTGATGCTGCTGTCTTCAGTAGAGTACTAATGAAGAAGTAATAAAATAATTACTTCTTCATTTTATTGGTCATTAAAGGTTAAGAACAAATAATCATAAATAGTCTAACAAATAGTTTTACTTTTTTGTTTTTAGCTAGACTACTAGTAACTTATCAGTTATTAAACTTAGGTCTTAGGTCTTAGAATTTTATATGGTAATTCATGTAAACTAAACCTAATAGGGCACACAGAAAATGTCATATTTTCTATGCTGTTCTCTATTTGAAACAATAATTCAAGCAGTTAAAAGTTTAATTTATATGGAAAATATCTCTTATATTTTCCATATAAATTAAACTTTTAACTTATATGTATCCAGATAGTTCTTTTTTCTATGCTCACCTACTTTTCTCAACCACCCATGAAAATAAGCCAAGGATATGTATTTTTTTTCTCACCATTCCTATTATCGGGATTTTTTTCTAATCTTTTCCAGAATTCTCACAATCATTCAACAGTACTATTTCTTTATAAATGTTAAAATTCAGATTCGAGAAATTAAAGACTTATCTTGTTTACTAATAGAATCTATGAGAAGAAATGTTTTTAAAAATTACACATGACGTCTACACAGACAAATCACTGAAGTGCAGTGTTTAAATACTTAGAAAATGAGTCATCCCCTAAAGATTATAGCAGAAATGTGTAAAAAGCTTCAAAATACTTGAAGAAAGCCCATGGAAGACATATATTAAAATAAACAAACAAAATAGAAAGGTGGTGATTCTTCAAGTAATATGACAACCTCATTAAAATGCAACACGTTTTTCTGCAAAAAGAAAATAAAAGAAGATGAAATAGATGCTTTATATAAAATATTTACCTATACAATGCACAAAGCCCACTATGGTTAGCAACCTTTATGGCTCTGAAGAACAAGATATTTACATATCTTTCTTTCTGCATATGCCTGTGCGTATGTGTGTTTTGTATATATTTTTAACAGTTGACAGCTGTTTTAGAGCATACAGAGATGCCAAGCTGAATGAGGGTCTTGATTACTTCAAGATTAGCTATCTAAAGTTTCTATTCATTTTAAGTGTTGTTAGTTGGAAGAGTCATTAGTCACTTCCTTGTCTCATAGAACATCAGCATACATTTACATTGTTAATGAACATTTGGGGTAAATGAATTAATGGCACTTTTAAACATCAATTCAGTCCTAATAACTTAGTATGTCTCAGAAATGTTAGGCTAGGATATAAATGAAAAGCCTTTTTAGTAAAGGTAACTACTTATTCCTGTAAACAATAAAGGATAAAATTAATTTAAAATGTTTTTTAACCAGGTTAAAAAAAAAAAGCAACTCAGTATTTAATAAAATAGACCACAGAAAAATACCCACTTAAAAAACAAATAACAACAACAAAAACTATGTCCTCAAATAACGAGAATAATCAGAAATAGTATGGAATATTTTGTAGAAACTACTTTATATACTTGTAAACCAAAGACATTCACTTTTAAAACACCCACTTATAAAAGTGCTAACAAAGTAATCTGACTTACTGAATTATGAATGCTTATTATGAGCATTACATTTAAGAGAAAATATCACTGGAAAAGGTGTCATGCTTAGCACTGAGACATTAAAATACTAAACTTGAAATGGACACTACTAATTTTCATATTATCAAAATTTTAAACCTAAGTCTTCAGTTCTTATTTAACAAAAAATATAAAAATTAAACAATTAAATCACAAAATAAGTTGGACAAATTCTCTCCTATTTTCATTAAAAACAACAATGGCATTTGTATGCCGGAGGTATTAAAGAATGCACAAAAAATAAACATTCTGCATAAAGTTTGTGTTCTCAAGAAATACTCACTTTAGGTAGAAGTTAATTTCTTTTTTTAATTCTCAAAACATGAGTTAAAAGCAGACTTTGACATCAATATAAACAGAAAAATCATTTTATTTGAAGAATATAACACTCATGATTTACTTTGACTAATTTTCCTTTTTTATAAGAGTTTGTCCATCTACTTTGACTAATTTGTTTTAAAATAGATCTCCCAATCTTGATACCTGCATTTTACAAGTGAAAAATTACAAGCAATCACGGAGTCAATGAACTTTATCAAATATTTATTAATTGCTTAAAAAATAAGGATAAGGCTTCCAGAATTCTCACAAATTCAACTACTTCCTTCTAAGAAACTATGTTATTACTATTATTAAGTAAATATAGAGAAAATAATAGTTTTGATATATAAACATTTGATAACCTGAATTAAGTCTACCTTTTAACAGTCTACTATTTAATAATTTCAATGTATAGATTATTTAAAATATAACCCAAATTTCAATTTTTTAAAACAGAAAAAAAAAGGATGAATCAAGTCTTTTATGCTGGAATACTCTCAATCTACTGACGAGGAAAAAAAACTCTGCAAAATCAACAAGAAAAATTTAAGATTCTTTAAAAGATGTTTGACCAAGATAACTTCGTGTTTCAACATTCTTAATGCTAAAGTCATTATTCAGTTTATTATTTTCTTTTAAAGAATGTCAGTGTGTTAAAAATTTAGTTAATGCCTCTGTGGATAACTGAAAGCTGACTAGTTGGAGTATTCATTAGCGTCAAGAGTGCTCTATACATATCCAGAATAATGTACTTAACATTGGCCTGCTCAGCTTCTTCAAGAGAATTACACACATAAGGTGGACAGAGCTAACTGAAGGCCCTCTGCTAGGTTTCCCAGTATCCTACCTGCAGATAGCATTGGCATATAAAACTCACCTCCAGACTTGTTAGAGTAACTGGACAAGGGGTCAATGCCTACTTCTTGTTCTTCTGGCTGCAGAGGATGTCTAGTTTCAGATAAGGAATGATACATTGTGGGAACTGGACAATGTCACCAAAAGTAACTACCTGGGAGGGGGGGAAAATACAGAGAAAAATAATAAATTCTTTGTCTGTTATGACTGGGAATAAATATAAGACTGAAATGATTAAATGAGCATTATACACATTAACAAGTTTTCAGTAACAGGCTCCAGGGACTATTGCCTCACATTGGTAGGCTTATGCAAAGAAAGGAAAAAAGGTAGCAAAAAATTTCCATTTCAAAAATTTCTAAAAAATCTGAGCCTCATTTATAATCTTTATCTCAATTTTGAATCAAATTTCTTTTCAATAAATAAGCTAAACTCTAAATTAAAGAGAATATTCTCACATTTATAGCATGCTTTTACGGCCAAAATAAAAAAATTCACAATGGAAACTTTCAAAATACAGAAAATATAGCAAATTAAAATTATTCATGATAGTATTAGTTAGAAATATTAGTGTTAACATTTCAGGGTATTACACATATACTTCCTGTCTTTATTCTGGGTGTTTATAACACATATGGTTTTAATGTGATCCATAACATGCTAAACATACTGATTATGTAATCTATGAATACTTTAAATTCAGTCTTTTCCTCCCAGTTTAAAAATAAAATAACAATTATGTGTCCATATTATAATTTCTTATGATTCCTAGTATTCTATTATATAGTTAGCATAATTTATGTAACCAATTCCTTATGTAGTAAACAAGATATTTTCAGTTGTTCAACACTATAAACAGGCTCAAAAATAAGTATCTTTTAGCAGTATCTCTGTATCGTATTCATGATTATTTCCTTAGGATAAATTCTTAAAGTACAATAGCTGGATTAAAATATACATTTAAAATATAAGATTTTGTGCTCTATAAAGGTTACCTAACAGAACAATTCATTTCCTCTTAATTCTTGTTAACAATGGATGTTTCCTCTTAGATTTTTTGAATGAACATGATAGTCAAATTTTGTATTGCATTTGTTTGATAATTACTGAGATACTGTTTCTGAGATAACATTTTATTGTCTTTTGTTAATGGAGTTAATTGTTAATGACTGTCTTCATGATTTCTAAGCATAATTTAAGTATTAAGGATATTAAACCTTGGTCATGTGATACATATATTTTTCTCACAATGTATATGGCTTTCAGTTGTATGACATTTTTTGACATAGGTAATTTTTTTCTTTTTAAGACGTAGTTTCACTCTTGTTACCCAGGCTAGAGTGCAATGGCACGATCTCGGCTCACCACAACCTCCGCCTCCTGGATTCAGGCAATTCTCCTGCATCAGCCTCCCGAGTAGCTGGGATTACAGGCACGCGCCACCATGCCCAGCTAATTTTCTGTATTTTTAGTAGAGACAGGGTTGACCAGGATGGTCTCAATCTGTTGACCTCGATTCACCCGCCTCGGCCTCCCAAAGTGCTGGGATTACAAGGCTTGAGACATAGGTAATTTTTTATGTGCCCAAATATATCTGTATGTCCAGTATCATTTCCACCTCTGGTGTTATACTTACAAGATGATATTAATAACTACCTATATTTCCTTTTGCCATTTTGAAAGTTTTCCCTCTCAATTCTAACTTATATAAATTATTCCATATTAAACAATATTTGTTTTAAATTATTTTCAACTTCCAAGGTACACTGTAAATTTTTTATGTCCATAAGATGCAAATTACCTTCCCAAATCATAACTCTTCCAAAAACTAAACCAAGTTCACCAATTTTCATGCAAAACATTGTAAGTAACATAATCTTTTAAATATCAGGAGCAGCAAGGACGTGAGAGAAAGAAGAAATGGTAAGAGAAAAGAGAAGTGGTAAAAGCAAGTCCAAACAAAATGATTATTTTATAGGATACGGTCTTCACCTATGGAGGAAAAGCTCCAGAGATGCTCCTGAATACACAAATTCTTGATCACCTTTTCCAAAACAAAATGCTCCTCTATCCTATTTTTCTCTCTAAAATCATCACCTTGTAAAATACTCATATACATGTTCTAATTTTTATCAGAAGTCTCTAAAACCCCCTACACCCACACAATCACAGTCAGATGTTAATAAATCCTAACCCCCTGGGATTGTGGCTAAAACAATGTAAGCAGAGGATTAGGAAAAACAAAGAACTTTTGTAGCAAACATGTAGTAAGAATATCTAAAGCCATAAATCTTAAATCCATAAATCACTTACTACATAGCAGAAACTCTGGAGAATATAATCTAGTAGAAGACAGCAAAATGTAGATGATCATTTATAGTATAACACAAAGTCTGATAAATTCTGTTTAACACATAAGGCAATTCAGAAATAAAGTCCTCTACTATGGAGCAGACATCAAATTCAAATGTCTAATGAGGTCAGGCAAAAAGCATATTAATTAAAGTTAACATTTATGCACAATGAATACACACCAAAAACTCCAAATGTTTCACGTACACTCATTTCATCCTCCTTACAACCCAACTGACTTATCTTCGTCAATTTTATTTTCATTTTACCATAGAGAAACTGAGGTAGAGAGAGAGTAAGTAATTTATCTAGAATCACACAAAGAATAAGTATGAAAGCCAAAATTGAAGCCATCCTGTCTGGTTCTGCTCACATTCTTTCTGCTACATTACTTTGGTTCTAAATAAGTCAATGAGATAAAAAGACCAGGTGTAAAACAAGAGGTATAAAAAGATACAGCCTATGTATAATCAGAACACCCTTTACTCTACTTCTGCTTTTCCAAGACAATAAAGATCCAGAATGTAATGTGAAATCTGCTAATTTATAAGTGTTAGCAAATAATTCAAAGTAAAAGAAAAATACTGGGTGGAAAAGATTAAACACTTTTCAAAATTTTATTTCACCCATGGGCAACTATTTTAATGTAAGATTCATATATTCCATAAATTTTGTTATACTCTTAAAAATATAAAAGTAAACATTTGAGAATGTCTATTTCAAGTTAACTGCTAGATTCCTTAAATTTTCTTTAATATCCTAAATGATATTTTCATAATCTTAGTAATTGAATTTCAAGTTTTTACACTGTACTTTCACTGTTACAGGCTTCTCATACCTAAAATAAATAAATAAATGACTTTTGTGTGTTTTAAACTACATAAAAAATAGACAAGTGACAAGCAAGGGGATATCAAGGAATATTTTTTAAAACCTTCATCTTTACATAGCTAGAAGAAAATACTGTAGGACACAATGATGTTCATACATTCATTTAAGTTGCTAAAAAATACTTAAGGTCTTTTTGACTCCTTAGAGAAAGTTCAAGAAGTCATTTAGCTGATTTAGCTTAAATTATAATTCTTCAGAACTTAACAAGTTTGTGGTAATAACCAATAACCAGAATACAAAATCAACGAAATACCTCAGTCTACAACCATTCTATATAATCAAGCATCCATTATATCCTAATTTATTATGCCAGTAGATTGAAAATGAACCACTGAAATGTTTTTATAATTAAATAAAGGAAACCATCTGACTAGTAATAATGAGTTATTTTCAGGCAATCTGTTGAAGAAAACGTGTGGATAATGTTCTTAGTTTTCTTTTAATTATGGATTTAAATAACCTAATTCAAAAGTAACTGATTAAGAAGTTGCTGCTTTCATTTTTTATTGTTTTGTTTTAAATATAAAGAGCTATTTTAGCTTTCTTGAATCTAAAAAAGCAACTTAAGAGGGTTAGTTACTGCTATTGGGATTACCTTATGAAATCAAAATGTTGTTTTTAAATATGAAATCATTTTCCTAAGAACTTCCCAGTTTGTGTTTCATAAACATTCCAGTAAGAGAAAATGATTGATTACAAAGCAGAATATCAAGGGTCTTTAATAAATTTGTCTATTTTGATATTTATTATGAATAAATGTTTACCTATAAAAATCAAACTATAAAAAATTAAGGGATTTAATCCAATCCCATTTTTAAACAATCACTGTAAAAGTCAAAACAGCATAAGCGTAACACTTACAATGGTCCATTAGATCTCTAAATTTGATTACAAACTCCAACTCCTATCGTAGACATGCCTTAATCTTCTCTACATAGAAGCAAGACATACAGAGAGAAAAGAATGTAAAGACCAAAAGCATGCCTCTTAGTAAATGATTACTTAAATTCATAATTGATAGATTTTAGTTCTCTCAAATGATATCTACCTATTCCTATAATTTCTCTGGTTGATGAAAATGATGCCTGAAGAATTATTTTAAATAAATGCAAGAAATCTCATTTTTCTGATTGAAAAAGCATAGCAATATACCTTCCATGATCTGGGAAAGGCCCTATCCTTCCTTTGTTACACTTACCATAAATAACAATTTTTCCTATTCACATGAGTTCAAAATTCCAAAAAGTTATAACTAATTTTACAATATGGTTTTAATGCTATACTGGGCACAGAAGTTCACAAATTAGGCTAAAATTCCCATTTAAAATCCAAGATTAATCTTAAAGACAGTTGTACTGGTTTTACAAGTCTAGATGTTGGAGTATTAAATCTTAAGATAAAAGTGATCTGTCTGAAGGAAAAGACTTCTTTTGCAAATAGTTAATTTTTAATAAAAGGGCAAGAGTTCAGCACTAAAGCTTAGAAGGCAGTTTTAAAGTACATTTAAAAATCAAAGCAATATTTTCCATGTAAAATAAATCAATACAAGTAGTATCTAAGTGAAAATCTCAAACTATTAGCATTGTACAGATAAAATAATAGGTAAGTTTAATAATATTTTCTCTTTTAAAATAGCATCACAGGGACAGAACCTCTAGAAAAGGAATTTATTCTGTCTAAATTTAAAATTCTATATATTTCAGCTTATATTCCCTCCTTAACAGGCACAGAATTAGCATTCTGAACGATGTCATTCTAAAGACATTCATATTCGGAAAAGCTCATATAAGCATACTTCATTCATTTAAATTCTTGACTGATGGTAAACTTAAAAGTCAAACACCGAAATGATATAGTATTACTTTACATAAAGGTTTCTCCTATAAGAAAAGCATACCAAAGAGCTTAAAT